CCAAGAGAGATTCCAAGCCCAGAATTGTTATCTCTCCCTAGAGAATTGTTTCTTCTTTGTGGGCAGTTGTCATTTTTATGATTGGCACTATCTCTTGCTTTATAACCTATTTTGATGGCTGAGTGTGCATGTCCGCCTCCCAGCTTCCCTGCCACATACCACCCAGCACTGTGGAGGCCTGGAACTCACCATTTCGTGTAGGTTGATCTCATGAACTAGCAATGATCCTTCTGCCTTTGCCTCCCAGCAGTGGGCACCGCAGTGTGCGCCCCTGTGCCTCCCGGCTGTGGGCATTGCAGTGTGCGCCCCTGTGCCTCCTGGCTGTGGGTCCTGCAGTGTCTGCGCCACTGTGCCCACTGTGAATGTATTTTTGTTTTTTTTAAGTTTAACTGTTCTCCTCCTTCTCCCATCTGCATCCCCCTTTGGAAGTCATACACCATGTAATTATCTGAATAGAACTTGGTCTGCTTGTTATTTTAACAGGCATACTTGAGACGATGTAACGTTAACTGGCACACTGTCCTGCTTATGCACTACATAAACACCCGAAAGCGCCTTGTGTCCCTAGTCACTCCTTGCTGGCCACTGTTGACATTACCGTTCTTTTATCTTGCATTTCTCCCACAAAACAGCGCCGCTGTTACTAGGCACTGTTCAGTTAGGTTTTCCTATTTCAACTACTTTTATGTCCAGGTTTTCGTTTTATGCCTGTACATGTTGGTATGTTGGCACACGTGTGTGCATGTAGGTATGGAGGTCTAGATGTCTCTTACTGACCTAGAAATTACTAATTAGGATAGACCAGGGAAACCCAAGGATGTCCCTGTCTCTTTCTCTCCAGTATTGAGATTTACAAGCATGGGGGCTGGAGAGATGGCTCAGTGGTTAAGAGCATTGCCTGCTCTTCTAAAGGTCCTGAGTTCAATTCCTGCAACCACATGGTGGCTCACTACCATCTGTAATGAGGTCTGGTGCCCTCTTCTGGCCTGCAGGCATACACACAGACAGAATATTGTATACATAATAAATAAATATTTTTAAAAAAGATATTTACAAGCATGCACCGCCATGTGGGTGCTGGGGTTTGAACTCAGGTTCCTGTAATGTGCAGCAAGCACTTTACTGAGTCCTCTCTCCAGCCCCAGCACACAGGTTTTCAAACGCATCCCTGGAAAGGGTGGAGCCCAACCCCCCTCTCTCCTTGAGGATTGGGCTTTGGGACTCCATCCTCATTCCTAGTCTGCGTGGTGTCCAGCAGTTACTTGATTTTAACATCATGCAATCCCAGGTCAAACCACCTGGCCCTCAACCCACAGAGAAGCTTCTTCTTAGCTGGGTGTGGTGGCACATGCCTTTAATTCTAGCACGTGGGAAAGGGGTGGATCTCCTTGAGTTTGAGGCTAACCTGGTCTACAAAGTGAGTTCCAGGACAATCAGTGCTGTTCACAGAGAAACCATCTTGGGGGGGAAAAAAAGTGTTGTTTTTTTTTCTTCTTGAAACCATTGTCTGGTGTTCACTTGCTACAACACTGTCTTTTATCAATGAGTCTTTCCTGAATCTTACCTTCCTCCTGATACATCTGTGGCTGCCACTAGTGATATGTTTTTTATGGTAAACTTTCAATTTTGTTTGAAAATGTTTTGGTCTGTCTGTGTTCTGTAGAGATAGCATCTCTGGGTATGGACTTTGAGGTGAATATGGTTTTGGCCCTTAATTTTTTTAAATTAATTTTATACTGCCATATAAAATTTTGTTTTTGACATAGGGTCTCACTATATAGCCCTGACTAACCTCAAACTCAGAGATCTGCTTGCCTCTGCTCCCCCAAATGTAGGTATTAAAGTTGTATGCTACCATATCTGGCCATTTTATATTCTATGTGCATTAATGTTGTAACTGTGTGCATGTCCGAGTTGATATGTGGGTGCTGGCACTGAACTCCAGTCCTCTGGAAGAGCAGCCAGTGCTCTCAGCAATGGAGTCCTCTCTCCAGCCCGAATACTGGATTTCTTTTTTTGATATATAATAATTTAATTTATTTATTATTTATACAGTGTTCTGCCTGCATGTATCCCTGCAGGCCAGAAGAGGGCACCAAGTCTCATTACAGATGGTTGTGAGCCACCATGTGGTTGCTGGGACTTGAACTCAGGACCTTTGGAAGAACAAACAAAGCTCTTAACCACTGAGCCATCTCTCCAGTCTGAATACTGGATTTCTTTTTTTCTTTCTTTCTTTCTTTCGTTCTTTTTTTTTTTTTTTTTTTTTGGTTTTTTGAGACAGGGTTTCTCTGTGGCTTTGGTTCCTGTCCTGGAACTAGCTCTTGTAGACCAGGATGGCCTCGAACTCACAGAGATCCGCCTGCCTCTGCCTCCTGAGTGCTGGGATTAAAGGCATGCGCCACCATCGCCCAGCTGAGACTTTCATTTTAAATGCAGTATTTTTCATTTCTAGAAGTTGATTACTATTGTTTAATATTCTCTTATTCTCTTGAAAGGTAGCACCTTTTGTAAAATAGAGTGTAGGCTGTTGCCCCTTGTCCACATGTTCAGGAAATCAAGAATTGTGTCATTACCATTTGCTCCGACTGCTCTAGTACCCTGGTCCCCTCACATCTTGTTTTTTGTTAGCTTCTGTGACCTGTGATTCTTTTAAGCGTAGAGGAGCTCATCTCCTCGGAACTTGACACAAAACACGTTTAGCCTGTTGTGTCCTCAACCAGGGGACAAAGTGTCCCTCGAGAACAGTGAAAGATGTGTCTCTAGACAGTTGGTGTTGTCACAGCTGGGAGTCTACGTGCGCTACCAGCAGCAGAGGGCAGACCACAGGGATGTGGCTAAGCTCAGGTTAGACAGGTCAACCTGCAGAAGATACTTTCCTCTCCTACAGCACTAGGGCTGGGGTTCCGGGCAGCATCTGAGCTGGCCTCTGCCTATCAGGACCACTGATAGTCTTCCCTTGATAGTGGTGGTCATGCCTTTAATCCCTGCACTCAGTAGGCAGACTGGAGTTTGAGACCAGTCAGCCTGGCCTACAAAGTGAGTTCCAGGACAGCCAGGGCTACACAGAGAAACCCTGTCTCAGGAAAAGAAAAAAAAAAAAACAGTTCTCTCTTGAGGCTTTTAGGACCACACAGGCAGTCTGGCTCCAAGCCACAAACTTATAAGAAACTGTAGAGTATTCTAGAAACCACAAACACGTTTTTCTCCCTTGCTGGGATACCAAGGCTACGAGGCCATGTTGGCTGGATTCCATCTGTGTCACCTTGTTCCCATCTCCCTCCTGATAGGTGAAAGGCCTTCAGAATGTCACCCCAGAGCGGAGCCTGTGCTGTCCCGTCTCTTACCTCTAGTCCTGTGACGACGTGAGGAGGGGCACACAGCCTTTCAAGGCGTGACAGGCACATCAGGGGGAAAGTTGCCCACATCTTTTGTGTGTGTGTAGACAGGGTCCCTCTGTGTATCCATGGCTGTTCTGGAACTCACTCTATAGACCAGGCTGGCCTTGAACTTGGAAATCTGCCTGCTGCCTCTGCCTCCTGAGTGCTGGGATTAAAAGCATGGGCCACTATGTCCAGCCACCACCTGTGTCCTTCTGCGGTGCCATGTGACCTGAGCAAGCTTAGACAGGATCCCGTGGACAAGATAGGGACTCTCGTAGATGGGGTGAAACTCGCTTGGGCAAAGCCAAGAGGAAAGTGAGACTGATTGAGATGGCCTGGCTGTCGGAAGAGCTTGGCAAGACTCAAGACGCTGTTGAGACCTGTGTTTCCATGGAACGGGCAGAGTCAGGCTCTAGTGCTCAATGTCACAAGGCTGTGTCCAGAGAACCTCTTAGACTAGCCAAGTATCCTTAGGACCTGAGCGGAAGGGTACAGGGGGCAAACCCAAGGAACGAGGGGGCCATCTTGGGGAAGGCGTGAGGGCAGACCCAATCTGTTGCCATGGAGACCTGTCCCTGGCCAGCACTGGTCTAAGGCAAATTCATCTGGGTGTTCTGAGCTCATAGAACACAACCGCCTTTTAGATCTAGCCCTCCCTCCAGCCAAGAAACCACTAATTCCTGAAGTAGAAGGCTTGGGTGCTGGACTAATTTGCACCTGATTTGGCATGCTTTGTAGGCCGAGCACAGTGGGGGAAATTAGACTCCAGGGTTATTTCACTACCAAATGCTCACAGTCCATACTGGGGGCTCCAGACCACAGAATTCACCTATGATGTTGCAAGCACCGGGCCCCACCAGACCAGGCTGAACAGAGACGCCCCTCATCCGATCTGTACCCATCTGAGCTGCCAATGGGAGGTATCCAAGGATGCTCAGTTTCTCCTGGGGCTCCCTGGTTCACCTTTCTGTGGCTGAGTCTATGACCACGCTGCTGGACCAAGGAGGACATTAAAGATGATGCGTGAGCAGATCCCAGGCCTAGGGAATCCTGCACCCTGTGGAATGGGCATATTCTGCTACAGTGCACTCATAACTTAGCTGGGAAGTCCAAACTCGCCCATTTGTGGGGATGGGGCCTCCCTAGGAGAGGGCCACACCTGAGCTACCTTGATGCCATCTTCCCCTGTACAGTTTAGGTAAGGCAGGACGGTAAGTATTGGCGTACTTATAGGAACCAGACTGGCCTGGTCCAGCTGCAGCCAGATTCCTTCTCGGCCTCGGCTACAGACTTCTATCCCTGTGGCTCCCCAACAGACACAAACAGAACTCCCTTTTAGAGGTTTCTCGGGCCCCATCCTTCCATCCCATGTCTCTCTTCTGCTCCTGAGTCACAATTAGATTGTCTTAGAGCCCTTGGTGGAGAGAAGGAACCCCTGAGCTAGGTCTTTCAGGCTTCCTAGCCTACCCTCAGCACAAAAACTCTAATCACCCAGAAACACCACACACAGTGAGCAACAGAGCAGAGGGACCCAGCGCAGCCAGCGGCCCCTGCTGGGCATTATGAGAAATACAGCCCAGTGTGACCAGTACTTTTTTTTTTTTTTTTTTTTTTGGTTTTTCCAGACAGGGTCTCTCTGTAGCTTCAGAGGTGACCAGTACTTTTTACTAAATACCAAAGATTCCAGCCTTACAAGAGGGGACAGGATGACTGTAAACATGCCCCCTTCTTTGTCCAGGGCTGCCGAAAACCAGATAAATATGAGGAACGGTCCTCTGCCATCCACTGACAATGGAGTAGAAGCTTCAGGCCTGACAACGCTACTACGATCAGCACCCACTGTATGGTGTCAGGCCAGCCCGGGGCAAGCCTCAGGACAGCCCAGACGACAAGAGTGGAGGCAGGTGCCCTCTCCAGGGCCCTGAGGCTAAGCGCTGAGACCTTCAGTCAAAAGACAGGCTCACAGCAGCGCCGTGGAGCTGGGGCTAAGTCCGGGACTGGGGCTAAGTCCGCGTGCACATCCTAGCGAGGTACAACCAGCTAGATGAAGGTGGAGTCCAGAGGCCCAGCATCCTGCTGGCTGAGAGCCCGGGCCTCAAACAGCTGCTTGATGAGCGCAGACTTCTCCTGCTCCAGCTGAGTGATGCGCTCGCTCTTATTGGTCACCTCCTGGGTGGGCGGGCGGGCGGACAGGCAGGGGCGTGATCAGGGTTTGCAGGGCCACCAGCCCCAGCCCCATCTTCCCACACCTCACCTGAGTGAGAAGCCGGTTCTGCTCTTTCAGCATGAGGATGGTCTGCTGCTGCCAGACTGGCGCTGAGGGAGAGGTAGAGCCCAAGGGCCCCAAAGAAGACGAGGGCAGAGCCTGTGGGAGCGCACAATCAGGCAGGCCTCTTCTGGGCACAGCACCCAGAACAAGGACAAGGGGTGCCCGGGAGCCTCCAGAACACTCACTCTGCCAGAACAGGCTGCGGTCAACAGCTCCCCCAGGCACCGGGCCACCTCCTGTACTTTGGGCAGTAACCTCCCCAGAGGGAGGGGACTCCCTGCAGTCCCAAAGTCCTGGAAGAGAAGCAGGGAACACCAGGCCGTGAGGAGACTCGTGCCTCCGGCACTCCTGTTCCTCCAAAGCTTCAGCTCGGAGTCCAGAGGGAGCCCACCCGGAGCAACTCGGGTCCGGCTGGCAGGGGTGCCCCCACACTCACAGCGCCGGATCTGCTGCTCTGGCTCAGGCGGCGCTGACGCTCCTGCACACGCTGCAGCTGCTGCTGTTACCACTCTCGGCCGCGAGCCATCATCTCCAAGCCCTGCAGCAGCACCTCCTGTTCCTGTTCTAGCTCCTTCATCTGCTTCAACTACAACACACACGTGCACACAGGAATGGACGCATGCCGGCAAGCAGACTGGCATTAGGCATACGTGCACACATGCGTGTGCTCCAGGAGCCACGGGTGTGGGAGTTGAGACCTATGCAGGGGCAGACCAGCACGCAGGCACCAGCATCGGGTCAGCACACAGGCGGTTTGCAAAAGCACAGATGGAAGCACCAGTGTTTGCTGGGTTCAAACTTCCGCCTTGGAGAACATAGCTCAGTTCCTCCTCTTTGGATGATGAAGGTGGTAATGGGGACTGGTCTCCCTCTCGCTCCTCTACTGACACTTCCCCAAGGGCAACTCAGCACCCCGTTCCTTGTGCCCTAAGCTGGCCTGCAGAGGTGAGAGCCTCAGGAAGTAGACAGGGCAGGGGCCCAAACTCTGTCACCAGGGATCCCTAAAGAACCACTTCTCCACCCTCTGCCTGACTTTGCCTGTCTTCCCTCCAGCAGATTCAAGCCCAGGAGAGAGAGATTCAGCAGAGCTAACCAGTTCTCCTACAGGGGTTCCCCAAGTAACCAGGTTCGTGGTTTCCAACCTTCTGGACAACACAGAGAGTCCCTCAGAGTCGTGGCCCCTCTCACCAGGCCACAGTCCACACCGTTGGTGATGGTATGCCTTCGACGTTCGCCTCGAGCCCGTGGAGCCTGCCGAGCTTCACCTGTGCCTACGTCCAGGGTCTTGCAGGATGCTGCACCTGTAGCAGACAGTCGGGGTCATCGCTTAGTTCTGGGCCTGCATAATGGGTTCCTCAGCCCTCCCGGGACCCTCCAGCTAACTCTGTTAACATCTCATCCCAGTTCCTCAGCCCTTCCGGGACCCTCCAGTTACCTCTGATAACACAAACCCCAGGGGCCAGGGCTGTCCTGGGAACCTTTGCCATCTCATCTGTGAACTTGCTCTATCTGTTGACTTTGTACCTGGCTGGGATTCGGTCTCCTCTTACCTGCCCTGCTTCCCTCACCTGCCTCAAGGAGGGCTGTGAACTCCCTGAGGGGTCAGGGGAAGGCATGAGTACAGCTCTTTCTTGCACTCCTCCCCCTGTGCCTGAAAAAAACCATAGTGGATACCTCTCGAGGGTATCAAAAGGGTGACGTGTAAAAGATGAGATGGTAAGGCCGGGGCGTGGTAGTATACTGTGCCTTTAATCCCAGCACGCAAGAAGCAGAAGCAAGCAGATCTCTGTGAGTTCAAGGCTTGCCTGGTTTACATAGTGAGCTCCAGTTCCAAATATAAGCACGTAGAGAGATCTTGTCTCAGAAAAACAAAACCAAGAAACAAAAGGTATGGACCAGTCGAGCCCTCTGGCTCGTCCCTCACCTTTCTCAAATGCATGGGGCTTTGTGGCACAGCATGGGGTAGTGAGAAAGCCAATCCTCCATTGGTGATGGAGACATAATTCTTGCCCAGAAAGAACCACATTATGAAGCAAGGTGTGCATATATGTGCCATAGACCCCTGTGAACATCGTCTGGAGTGCCTCCCCATCTACCAAAAGTGGGGTGCAGGTAGAAAGGAGGGTACCTTCCCCCAGATCCCTAGCCCTATCCCTGGCATCAGGATCACCCCTGCAACTGTCTTAGGAGTGACAGAGACAATAATTGTGTTCGGCTGCTCTAGTTCCAAGCAGGCCTCAAAGTTCATGTCCCAGCCTGCAGTTTCAGGGTGAGGCCATGGGAGGTACGCAAGAAGGATACTGCCTCATGAAGGTGGGGCCAGAGCAGGTACCGGCAATGAATTCTAGGAAGGAACCCTGTGACACCTGGATCTGACTTGCACAGGAAGGAGACATAAACCTCCTTCCCACAGGGTTGGGAATTTGAGGCCATATCTGTGTTGGGAGGACTCTCCCATGGAAGTGGGGGCTAACGCAGTTCTGTGGCTCCTTCAAAGCAAGCTTTGTCAACCACACCGTAATCTTTACTGGGTCTGGGATGACCCATAAAGGAGTTAGAGCCAGAGCCTGGCCTTAGGCTTACAGAGCAGTGGGCTAAATATTCCTACACCGTGGGCCCTGAGTACATGACCTTCAGAAGTAACTGAGCCAGGGCCACTGAAGGTGGAAAATATCAGTTCCACAGGCAAACTGTGAGCCTGTTCAGTACACAGTCCTATCTCAGGGCTGACTTCAGTCACACCAGCCATGTCCAGAAGTCTCACCTACCACAGGAACAGGGGGTCAGGCCTTGAACAAGTGGAGCAGTCTTTCTCTGTTTCTCTCTCACATTGTGTGTGTGTTTATTTTATTTTTTTAAAGGTTTATTTATTTATTATGTATACCTCCATGTATGCCCGCACACCAGAAGAGGGCACCAGATATCATTACAGATGGTTGTGAGCCACCATGTGGTTGCTGGGAATTGAACTCAGAACCTCTGGAAGAGCAGTCAGTGCTCTTAACCTCTGAGCCATATCTCCAGCCCTATATGTTTATATCAATTCACAAGGGAGGCAGTAAAACATGGCTGAGGCAGAAGAGGTCCAGTGAGGCTGGCAGAGCGGTGGCCAGTGACAAAATGGACTGGCAGCTGCCACCAGCGGGCAGCCCTGCACCTGGTAGGGCTGTGCACAGGATGAATGGGCTGCAGGGCCGCAGAGGGGCCCTGGGCTCCTCTGAGAACCTGCCTCCACGCTTAGCTATAATGCAGGTCCTGTTCTCAAGGCAGACAGGGGGCTATTCAACAGTCTCCTGTCCCTGCCAACTGGACCGGAAGGAGGGAGAGGAGCCTGCTGGATTCCCCAGAGACTGCGGTCTGTGTCTGGCAGGGTGTCTGCAGCAGGTGCTGTAGGGCACACACACCCGTCAGCATCCACACACCCAGCCTTCTTCAGCACTTGTGCTGGGTGCTCCCGCACCTCCTCTGCCTGGGTGGAGAAAGCAGGCCGGGTTATCTCTGCAGGGTGTCACACTGGAAGGGCCTTCGGGACGGGTTAGAGGATGCATGCTTTTAGGAAGAAACTTGTGCCCAAGCAGCCACACAGAAATGAGGATGCGGGCCCAGATGTCCCCAGCTATAGGGCAGGTACAGCCCAGATGCTCCAGGGCCTAACTTAGGCTTGAGACAGAGCGGGCTTCTCCTAGGTGTTCAGAATTATCGACCTGCCCTTGGCCCTGGTATCAGGCCTCTACCCGTAGCCCACACAGGCATCCAGGTGGTCCCAACCTTGTTTTAGGCTCTGGGGCCTGCCCACAGTGGTTCCCATCTCCACCCCTCTTGAGGAGACCCTGCTGGTCTCCAGTTTCCAGCGCAGGTCCCAGGAACTATGAGGNGGCGCCCAAACTCACCCGCGTCTGCGCTCGGGCTCCGCTCCAGGGTCTTACTCAGGGGCCGCTCGGGCTCCTTGGGACAGGGTGCCGCCTCCGCGGGGACACACAGTAGCTCAGGGTTCCGGGAGGTGCCAGTGGGACCAGCAGGCGCAGGACGCGCACTCGGGGGCAGAGGCTTCCTCTCCAGGACAGTTCGCGGCTCGTCGGCTGGTACGAACATCAGACGCTGCTGCAGCGAAGGTTGGTCCCCAGACCGGGGAGCGACGCGTGCCTGATCCCTCGGGGCACTGTTGGCGTTCAGCAGCGAGGTGCGCAAGCCCGCCACGAAGCGCTCGAAAGTCAGGTAGCCATTGGCGGGGGCCACCTGGCGCAAGCCCTCGAGGACGCCGCAGGGCAGCTCGCGTGCGTCTGCTCCCTGCCAGCGGGACTCGATCTCGCGCAGGTGCACGTAGCCGCGCTGCCGGTCGTCCAGGATGTCGAAGAGGGTGCGCAGGCTCTGGAGGAAAGCTCGCGGCAGCCCCTCCGTGCCGGGCGCGGGAGCGGCGTGCGGTAGGCGGCCACGCTCGGCCATCGCTGCCACGGCCATGGGCACCCAGCTTCCATCCGCGTCGGTCCCCCACAAGCCCAGAAGGCGGGCCCTGCACGGCACGCGCGCCCCGCCACAATAGCTGCTGGTTTTTGAATGGGGCTCTTCTCGCCGCCGCGTCAGCTCGCATTAATATTCACGGCGGCCATTGGTCGAAACTGGCCCATCTGCTCCGGGATTGGCTCGGAAGCCACCAGTCCAGTTTGATTTTTTCCTACGGTAGGGGCGGGCGCCGCCAGTGAGTGGGGCCCGGGAGGTGTGACCAGGCACCAGCAGAACCGGCTAGGGTTCCCACCTCTGCTCCCCACGATGCCCCTGCCTCCACGCCCACCACCCACCCCTCTGGCCTCGGTAGAGGCTTTTGTGCCCCGCCCTGCCAGCCACTTTTCTGAGGGCGGAGCGTGGCGCCCTGCACAGATCCTGTACCCAGGTAGCCTCACCCGTAAGGATGGCAAGGTCCAGCCCCTCCTCCTTCCTTTGGTTCTTTTCACTGAGAGTCCCCTGGCTCCAGGCGCCCATTGACTCTGGGGCTCCCTTCAGGAATGCCCCCAAGAGGATTATAGGCTCCAGACAGTTGGGCGCTCTCCTTCACTGAGGCCTCTGTCCCTACAACTGCCAGTTCTACCTTTGGTCCTTTGGCACCGTCTGCCTTGTCCTGCCAACTGTAGGACAAAGCCAAATTGTCTTGTGTCCCCAGATGCCCATCCGGTGACCAGCTCCCTTGGCGTTCTGGATCTGGTCCCCTACTCGGGCTTGCTTGCTTTTCTTTCTTCCTTTCTTCCTTCCTTTCTTCCTTCCTTCCTTCCTTCCTTCCTTCCTCTCCTCCTCCTCTTCCTCCTTCTCCTCCTCCTTCTTCTTCTCTCTCTCCCTCCCTCCCTCTCTCTCCTCCCTTTCTTCCTTTCCTCCTCCCTTAGGGTCCCTTACCCCCTTACCAACTCCTTTACCTGCCCTCTATCCTCCACCCGGTCACCTTCCCAAACTTCCTAATGTCACAGAAACAGAACAGTTGCCACTGAGAACAGTCCACACGTTAACTGGTGCGTCTACTTTCTAACCACACTGGGACACTCTTCAGCAATGTGGCTGAAAGCCTCCAGACAGGCCCTTCACTCGGGACCTCACTCCAGCCCCTCTGGACAGGCTTCTAATAGGTTGTGTGTCTCAGGCGTGGAAGCAGCTTCCCTGCCCAGCTCCCCTGGCCCCACATTTCCAGAGGTTACCCACTCAAAATTACTTTTCTTTGTTTGTCCTAAGACAGGGTCTTACTATGCAACCTCGGCTTGCTAATAGACCAAGCTGACCTGGAACTCAGATCTCCTGAGTGTTGGGATTAAATGTGCACACTACCACATCCATCACACTCAAAACTGTGCTTCATTCATGGTAAAGTGTTTTGGCCGAGGCCTCTGGAGCTGATCAAAGACCTTCTGGGGTTTCACATTCTCCTCCCCTCTTGCCTTGCCTAGTCCTTAGGGTGTTCAACATGTACCCTTACTTTCAGGCTCTGGGCTACATGTAGAGGAGCATCCTTTGTCATTGATTGATTACTATGAACACTTCAGATCTTTCTCAGGTACCTGCTTCCTCTGCCCAAAAAGTCGTAGATGTTTTTACCTCACATGCCTGACTGTGGTGACTGTTTCCTCATGAATTTTGATGTTTGGTAATAGGACAGAGCCACCCCTAGGCCTGGCATTGGCACTCAGTGGATAGTGGGCACACAAGAAGCTTTGTTTGGTTAGGGAATGGTGCAGCAGAACACCAAGCCAGGATGAGGCCTTGGGCATTCTCAGGACCATGCGTAGGTACCAGCGATGGAGTAGCCACCAGCATCAGGTGAAACCAGTGCTGCTCAGGAAAGCAAAACCAGCAAGGTTCAGGCCAGGGCCCCGGGGTGAGCCTGAGTCCACTAGCAGAGAAAATAAGCCTGCCCGTGTTGAGGGAGGTGGAGCTCATAAGCCCCACCCCTTCCTAGGTAGCACTAGGCAGTTAATTGTTGCTGGGGGAGGGAGGCAGGGTCCTAATTCTCAGCAGTGAAGCCACTAGTAAAATGCCTTTGATCCTACAAAGAAACTCCAACTGGTGTTTGTGCCGACAGTTCTGATTAACTGCAGCTGGTCTCTCTGTCTCTGTCTCTCTCTCTCTCACACACACACACTTTTTTTTTTTTTTTTTTT